TATAACATTAGTTTAGAAACTAATAAATATATAGCAGGGTATGTTGCCAAAAATACATTAAAGGCAGTCAAAAACTGCAAAGACTGCAGAAAGCAGCTAGTTTCACCTTCTTCAAAAAGTGCATTTGTTAGGCTCCTGGATTATAGACCCAATACGCTGTTACAAAGCAGTAATATTTTCAATGAAATTTTTAATAATTTAATCAAATTAGGCAATGCCATTCTGCCGGATATTATATGAGAAAAGAATATAAAATATAGATTAGCATCCGCAGCAAAAAAATCCATATTTTTGGAGAACAATTGTAATGAGCACAAGCTATTACAAATTTTTATTGATATTTTTTTAATTTTTATATGTATGCATATATAAAAAATATTAACGCTGTTTTAAGCGGTAAATATTCATTGCAATTGAATGACAAAATAAAACAAATTGCACATGCAAAATACCGCAAAAACAAATACAAATTTTGTAAAAATTGAGCAATTTCTTTTTGTAAAATAATGAATTCTTGCATTGTAAAATTTTGTAGGTTATAGGTTTAATATAATTGTAATTAAATCTATAAATAAAATGTGAAAAAAAAATATAAATATTTTTATCATTTGTTGCTTAATAAATTGAAACCATAAATACTACATATATGTATTTAAATATCCCGCGTTTTTATAATAGTTACCAGACCCGTTGCACTGTTGTTTGGCGCTTTTAATAGAACCTTCTAATGACAAGGAGAGTACTATCTATAAATATATGTAATCTGTGAATTAAACATACATACATTTGAAAGCGTACAAGAAAAATTAGAAGGTCGTGCCGAATTTATAGTATAGGCAATAGAGTAGAAATTGATACTTGGCCAAAATTAAAAGATGCCTTGTTACAAGCTTTTGCAAATCGACGTGATCTTGATTGTCTCGTCCAAGAACTAACAAGGAGCAAACCTCTTAAAGGTGAACACCTTGTTGATTTTGGCAGTAGATTAAAATTAATTAGAAGTAGCGTAGTACAGAGAATAAGCAATGATTTTTACATTGATCAAAATGATAAAACTTGTCAAATTAACCATTATAATAAGACAGTCTTAAATACTTTTATAGCTGGTTGTAGTGAAATTCTAAAAAATAACATGCCCCTTAAAAAACCAGATTCTTTAGAGGATGTTATGGCGTACGTAAAATAATTTAATATCTAACAAAGTCAAGATTTGTACGGAAACATAAATGATAGAAATTTTTAACAAAATGGATTTTATTCTAATAATAACAGACAATTTTTTTTTCAAAAGATAATACAAATTTTAATCAAAATCACAATTTTAATTAAAATCACAATTTTAATCAAAATCACAATTTTAATTAAAATCACAATTTTAATCAAAATCAAAATAGATTCCAGAATTTTGTACCAAATAATTAACAATTAAATACACGTTTTCAGAATTACTAACAAAATAATTATCCAACACACAAGCAATATTTCCCTAGTCAGCCAATGAATGTAGAACCCATCCCACAAAATAAAAAATACTTTACAAATCGCCAGGTATTTGGCCCGCAAAAATGTCGTTCTAGAGAAGGCATTTTTATTTATTTTCATCTCGTAACTGGTGACTTAATCAACTTTTCGTAATCAGTTGCATAATGTTTAACTTTATGCAACGTGTTGCATAAAGTAGACCTTTCTAGCACTTGCTGCGAATATGAAAGATGTCAAAATTAGTATTAAGTCGTATTAAAAGTTTTCGTTTATGTAAAGAAAAACTTGATAATGTTTTAGGATTACACAGTAAATAAAAAAATGAGTCATATTAAATTTGGATATAATTTGAATCGATCATACTCACAGATAGTAATCGTCCATATGTCGAATTTTACATATAATTTAATATGATTCAAAATATTCTTTTTCTACGATCGTGCAAAAAGTGACTATTTTTTACTCTATATACTGTGCCAAAAGTTTAATTTTTTGCACTAGTGCAAAAAGTAGCTTACTTTTGTGCACTAGTGCAAAAAAGTAACTTATTTTTTGCACTAGTACAAAAAACACTTCGAATTGTCAGTCAATTTTTTGGAAAAAAATTAAAAAAGAACACAGCGCCGCGAATCGAACCCGAACTTCTCCGGTGGGTGGTAAACATCTTAGCCGTTAGGCCATCATGGGTTTTAAAGAAACGTTTCGTAAACCAAAATATATACAGTCACTTTATTACTGGAACTTGTGATTAAATTTCAAAAAGTAGAAATATATATTTTATCTACCCTTTTGTTAATACCAAATTCGCTTGTTAGATAGGAATGAAATAAAATACAGAATTGAAAGATTTTTTACTCTAATTTTAATTAATTCAAATATTTCTTAATTTTCATAGTTACCTATGAATTATTTTGTAAATACCCTGAACTGTCAGAATATTTTCGTGTTACATCTGCGTATTTGTCTCTGTGTGTGTCAAATTAATAGTTTAAACATTTATTAAGTTGTAAAGTTATTAAAAATGTTCAGTTCGGATAGTGAGGAAGTTTCTGTACTCCTCCAGATTTAGTGGAAAGAGCTAATGAAGCAACGGCAGATTTACTACCCAATAAATCAAAAAAAATTTATGAAGTATGTTATAAACGGTTCACAGAATGGTGTGAGACTAAATCTGTTGGAAATATTACAGAAAACGTAGTACTTGCATATTTAAAAGAAAAGTCGGAAATACTGAAGCCATCGACTTTGTGGTCAGAGTACTCAATGCTAAAGGCTACACTTTTAATAAACAATAATGTGGAAATTCGAAATTTTCAAAAATTAATTCCTTTTTTAAAGAAGTCGGTAGGGTATCGCCCCAAAAAGTCCAAAGTTTTTTCAAGAGAGCAACTTGATAAGTTTTTAGTTGAAGCTCCCGACAGTAAATATTTAATGATGAAGGTAAAATATAAAAATAATCTTTTTTTTAACTTTATACGTAGGTATTTGTTTCTTTTAGATAGTTGCAGTATTTGGGATTGCAGGAGCATGCCGCAGGGATGAGTTACAGAAACTTACTTTAAATGATATAATTAACATGAATTCTATCATAACAGTAAAAATTCCCGACAGCAAGACCAACAAACCTCGATCATTTGTAATAAGCGGACAAATTAGATCCTTTAATTTTGTAAAAATGTATCGCAAATATGCATCCCTCCGTCCCCAATCAACAAGCCACAATAGATTTTTTATTAGATACTATGACGGAAAATGTTCCGTTCAACCTGTTGGTGTAAACACTTTTGGCAAAATCCCAAGTGATATTGCCAAATATTTAAATATTGAAAACCCAATGGAATACACGGGACACTGCTTTCGCAGATCTTCTGCAACCTTACTAGTAGAATCCAGCGCAGATACATTAACTTTGAAATGGCACGGAGGGTGGAAATCCTCAACTGTAGCTGAGGGCTACATTGAGGAGTCTATTTCTAAAAAAACAGAAATAGCTGCTCAAATTCTTGAAGATCAACCAAGTACCAGCACCGGAAGCTTCACAATACGAAAAAGAGGTGTTTCAAATGAAGAGCTAGTCAAAAATGAAACCAAAATTCAAAAAATTCAAAATATTGCTGGAAATGAAGTTTTTCCGTCACTAAACATAGTAAACTGCAATAACTGCGACATTAAAATTGAAATAAACTCAAAAAAGTAAAATAAGAGATTTTTGTTGTACCTTTTGTAAAATATTCTAATAAAATTTGATATAAGAGTATATTTTATTTCGATCGTAGAAAAAATATTGTGTGCAACACGTGCAAAAAGCATATTTGTTGCACTCAGCATGATTGCAGCTTTCGACTTCGTCTCAAGCTGCAAACTTCATGCTTCGTGCAACAAAGATACACTTTTTGCACTAGTTACACAAATAACTATTTGATAGGAGTTTAACTGGAAATCCTTAGAATGGAGCCTTGTGATAAAACACTGATACAATTCACTCCTTTGGGAAGTCCAATCCTTATAGCTAGGGGTGAAACAAAGTGTCAGTGCAGACTCTACCTCTGATCCTAAAAAATATTTGATAATAGAATTTGTAAATTGAAATTAATGCATACATAGTGAGTGGGGTCGTGGAAGAGGTTTCTAAAGTTTTCAAATCTTAAATGCCCTAATTTCAATAAAATAAAGTTAAATTGGAGTTAATTATTATAAGAAATGTTTTATCAATTTTTGTTTATAAAAGGTTATAGGTTAAGAAAAAAATTATGTAAATAGTTATAATAGTGAATAAGACGGTTTTTAAGTATTAAAAAATCAAAAAAGGTACTAAAGGAAAAGTTCAAAATTTATTAAATATATCGAATCATCCTTAGTCTATTTCATTTAAATAATATTAAATAGCTGCTATTGAAAGTATTATAAGTAAATTATTTATAAGTTTATTTTGAAAAGGTAAGTTTCTATTAGTACTAACGTACTAAGCACCACATTTTTAAAAAATATTTACGAGAATATGTTATCGGTATTTTTAACCTCAATATTTTAATTTTAGATGCCAAGACACTGCTGCGTACCAAAGTGCAATTCAAATTACGCCAGTACTTTAAAAAATGAAGAAACACAAAGCACATTTACATTTCCTAAAAAAGGAGGAAATTAGAAAACAATGGATTAGTGCTATACATCGTAAAAACTATGTTGTTAACTCAAATTCAGTAGTGTGTAAAAAACATTTTGATCAAACTGATATAGCAAATGAATTCCACTTTGATAAAAACGGAGTTACACATGAAATTAAACTGAAGTATCCTAAATTGAAAGAATTTTTAAAAACCATCCTCAATATTTTTCAAATCCAAAAATGCAGAAAGAAGAGATCCTGAACAAAGCAGAGCTGAAATATTTGAAAGACAAGAAAATGAAGTTGCAGAATTTTTAAATGCTGATCTAATAAAAAAATTTAGTGAATTATTTGGACAAATGAAAGAGAAAATTATTTTAAATAATTGGAATGTAAAAATTTTACCAGAAAGGTTTACATGCCTAATATTAGTACTCCAGATTGTTCCGATGAGTGTCCTAAAATTATTTCTAGCATAAGTGTTGGTATGGATTTAACTGTGTCAGTGTTTACTAATGACGTTCAACTATCACAACGAGATTTAAAATGGATTTTACCACATGAATGCAAATTAGGTAGGTGGTCGCAACTCCAGAATGTATTATCAAGATATTCTTATAGCTTGAAAAATTATGTGGACGTTAATTTTTATATTTTAAAGGCTTCAAATATTATTGATGCCATTGTTAATCATTTAAGTGATGATGAAAAAAAAAAACAACCCTTGAACTAATTAACAATCAATTATTACTATTAATATTATTAACTACAAAAAAAAAAGATATTCATTGTCAACAATTTTACTCTCCCTAACTATATTTCATCAGTCATCTTCTGCTTACACATATTTAAAAAAAAAACTAAACTTGCCTACTAAAAGATATTTGCAAATAATAACTTCATCATTCCAGTTATCCCCTGATAGAAACTTGGAGGATAATTATTTTTCATGCCTTGCTTCACACCTTAATGACAGAGAGAAGGTTGTAAAATTATTAGTAGATAAAATATGTATGCCACAAATAATGCTACAACAGTCGTAGTATTTAAGATATCATCTCCATTTGCCCATTTTAAACAGGTAGTACGTTTGTTACCGGTTTGTAATATTACAGGAACTGAATTAAAAGAAGCGATGCCTAATGCAATTCAGTACATTCAAAGTAGTGGTTTTAAAGTTTTGCGGTATTTTTCCATACAATCCGCATGTGTTTTCAGAAGAAGAATTTGCACCCGCCACAGTGACAGATCAACCAGTTCCAAACCAAATTCTAAGTGCAGAAAATCCCAGTCAAAGCATAGAAGATGAATCCGATCTTGATGATGATATGCCCTTGTCAAATCTTCAGTAATAGTCGATGAAGAAAATGTCACTGCCTATAAGTGAAGTTGCTAAGGACCGAAACTCGTCAGAGGCAATACCTTCAACATCTTCTGCGCGAACACCATCACCACCACCACCACGTGTTACGGTTCGTTTTTGTTTTTCATTAAAACACAGTCATAAACTTTACCATCTTTTATCCGATAACTACGAGTTATTACTTTAACTGTTGTAAATATTTAATTTACACAGTGTTTTTGTTTACTTTGCTTGAACCTGTAAATATAGGTCAGAAAACAGCTGTTCGGAGAGTGGTGCGGCCGTTGACCGCAGAGCGATATCTGGGTCGCTGTCACAAATTAGCGGAGTTCGGGTATCGATACTCTGCGTTATCCGTGGCAGTTGGTTTTCGTTACAAGACTGGTGTCACGTTGTGTTTTGTGGATTGAGATCGAACCAGTTGCGTTTATTTGTTATTGTTGGGTTGGTGTTCCGTGTATTAGTAACCATATGATTTTTGATATTTCCAGACCTGGTGGTCTGTCATTTTTGGTCTTGTCACTTTTTGGCTGATGTATGGTGGTGAATAACGTTTGGAAGGTTTTTCAAATATATATGACGAAGTGTTGGTCATCCGATAAGGGATTATTTTGGAGCCTACCTATTAGACCAGGAGAATTTTATAGTCGTTGAGTTTTATGGATATTTTTTGGGAAAATGTCCTTGGTAACCTGTTTAAGGGATTAATTGCTGTTCATCGTCCAGTCCAAATCTGTACACATGGTACTGATCTGTTAAAAACCCCAAATTAGTTTAGTTGGGTATGTATATACGTATTCGTTTTTTCTATTTAGTAATTGTCTCCTGTGAGCACATATTCTCACTTGTGTATAAAGATATAATGGGAATTTTCATTACAGCGTAGAGGGTTATTAGGTTTGATTTTTAAAAAAGATACACTTATACTGCTAAGTGTCTGGGGTAATGTCGTAATAATCAGTGAATGTACTTACACACTTAGTGAGTTAGTTACTTAGTTATTATTTGTCAATCTGTTATATTTATTTTATTGTCAATGTCGCTTTCTGTTTATTAAAACCTTAAGCAAGGTTTCGTATTTCATTACAATTTAATAAACAGTTAGTTATTAAATGGATCGTCTCTTGCGTCCCGATCGATTTAATACCAACCCCAATGGGCCTACTGCATCGCAAGAATGGAAACATTGGTTTCAGACCTTTAAAAATTTCCTAGACTCCACCACGCTTCCAGAAGACAAAAAACAAGATAGCATGTTAAATCTACTCATTAACCATATATCTCCTGCTATCTATGAATTAATATCAGAGTGCCTAACATATGACTCCGCAATCAGTACCTTGATGGGCTTGTACGTTAAGAAAATCAATGAAGTATATGCTAGGCATATTCTTGCCATACGTAAACAGCGTCCCGGAGAAAACAACTCAGTATCTACAGGAATTGAACTCTCTGAGTAAGAATTGTGCCTTTAAAAGCGTAACCGCTGATGTATACCGAGATGAATTCATTAGAGACTCATTGATAAGAGGCTTATCATCAGGAGTAATTCGACAACGGCTATTAGAAAACCACACCTTGACACTTCAAGGAGCCATTGATCAAGCAAAATCTATGGAAGCTGCTCACTTGCATGCATCTTCTTATGAAATAAATTCTGTACCAATTTTAAATAATTCCTCTTCTTCATTAGACACTAGGAATACATGTACTGAAAATGAAAATCCCCAACTTGTATCCGCGGTACACCGTCGTGTTACTGGTAAATGCTTTTATTGTGGCCGAGATGCTCATCAAAGAGACAAATGTCCTGCTAAGAATTCAACCTGTTCCTTATGCTCAAAAGCTGGACACTGGGCTTCAGTCTGTAGATCTTCTAATAGAAAATGGAATCAAAAACAATCTGCTTCAACAGTAACTGAAAATTCCCTTGCCCTAGTCGCTTTTCATCCTAGCTTAACTAAATCTACAATACAAATAATGGTGAACAACGTACCTACTGACGCACTAGTAGACACCGGTAGCTCTGAAAGTTTTATTAGTTTAATGGTTGTCCAATCTAGACATATCCCTATTTTTCATTCTCAAGGGAGTGTATCAATGGCATCCACATCATTATCAACAAGAATTCTAGGATACTGTTTAGTGAACATAAAAATATTTGAGCATTCCTATAAAAATATAAAAATGTCTATCTTAGAGCAATTATGCTCTGATGTGATTCTAGGTCATGATATTCTTAAACAACACTCAATACTGGAACTGCAATTTGGCGGTAATAAATCTCCTCTTCGTATTTGTAGCCTGACAGCCGCCAAAGTTTCTGAGGCACGCCTTTTTGAAAACTTATCACCTAATTGTTATCCTATTGCAATAAAATCTCGAAAGCATTCTCAAGAAGATTTGGAATTCATTCAGAAAGAAATCGGAAAACTACTTCGTGATGGTATCATCGAAGAAAGTAATTCACCGTGGAGAGCCCAAGTCTTAGTAACATGTAGTGAAAATCATAAAAAGAGAATGGTTGTTGATTATTCTCGAACTATTAATAAATTCACTTTCCTAGATGCTTTCCCACTCCCTCGAGTCGAAGATGTTATACAGCATGTCTCTCAGTATAGAATTTTTAGTACAATCGATCTCCATAGTGCATATCATCAAATTCCTATAAAACAATCAGACAAACCCTATACTGCTTTCGAGGCATGCGGCAGGCTATACCAGTTCCGTAGAATTCCGTTTGGGGTGACCAATGGCGTAGCAAGTTTTCAGAGAGTCATTGACTCCATTATTTCCAACGAAAATCTTAGTGATACTTTTGCATATCTTGATGATATTACCATATGTGGTAGAACACAGAAGGAACACGATGATAATTTATGTAAATTTCTTAGTATAGCCAAAAAGTACAATCTTACCATTAATGAAAACAAATCTAAGTTCTCAAGTGACGAAATAAGTCTACTAGGCCATAATATTAAAAATGGTACAATTAGACCTGATCCTGATCGAATTAAACCGCTTCTAGGCTTATCAGAACCTCATAACATCCACTCATTACGCAGGGCTATGGGTTTATTCGCCCATTATTCTCAATGGATTTCACGATTTTCAGAAAAGATTCGACCTATAGCACACTGTACTAATTTTCCTTTGACAAATGAAGCCTCCCAAACTTTCAAACTTCTTAAACAAGATGTAGCTGACGCAATTTTAACGACCATTAATAATGACGATATGCTTGTAGTAGAAACAGACGCGTCAGAGTATGCCATAGCTGCAACTTTGACGCAAAACGGAAGACCTGTTGCCTTTTACTCAAGAACACTTTCTGGTAGTGAGAAGGGACATTCGGCGATTCAAAAAGAAGCCTACGCCATAGTAGAAGCTCTAAGAAAGTGGAAGCATTTTCTTTTAGGTAGACAGTTTCAACTAATTACAGATCAGAGGTCTGTGTCAGTTATGTTCGACAACAAAAGTCATGGAAAAGTTAAAAATGACAAAATATTAAGATGGCGCCTTGAACTCTCACCAAGTACGAAATTATTTACCGTCCGGGATCATTAAACCGGGCTGCAGATGCGATGTCTCGAGTTTCCTCTTCTATTAACAACAAAATTGATTTATTTAAACTTCACACTTCATTGTGCCATCCTGGAATTACGAGGATGCACCATTGGGTGAGATCTAAAAACATTCCGGTGAGCTTAAATGAAATTCGAGATATGACAGGATCCTGTCAGATTTGTCTAGAACTAAAACCTCGCTTTTTAAGATCTCGAGGAACCTTAATAAAATCAACCGCTGCATTTGAAAGGCTAAATATCGACTTCAAGGGCCCGCTTCCGACTTGTACTGGTAAACCGTACATGCTGACTGTAGTGGATGAATTCTCTAGGTTTCCCTTTGTTTTTCCATGTATCAGCACAGCTTCATCTGAAGTAATCAAGCATTTGAGAGAATTATTCTTCATCTTCGGTACTCCCTCTTATATACATTCTGACAACGGTACATCTTTCATTTCTCATGAACTCAAATCATACTTAGATGCTCAAGGTATTGCCACTAGTAGATCTACTCCTTACAATCATCAAGGCAATGGACAAGTAGAACGGTATAACGGCATCATCTGGAAAACAATTAATCTTGCACTCCGGTCAAATGGACTGAAATTGAGCCAATGGGAAAGAGTACTACCAGAAGCGCTTCATTCGATTCGCTCATTACTATGCACGGCCACCAATGCAACTCCTCATGAAAGAATGTTCAACCACCCCCGACGTTCTAACAGTGTAGTATCTCTCCCTACGTGGTTAACATCACCTGGACCTGTTCTACTTCGTAAATTTAATAGGACCAATAAATATGAGCCCTTAGTCGAAGAGGTAGATCTCATTGAAGCAAACCCTCACTATGCTCGAGTTCAACTCCCTGACGGTAGAGAAACTACCATATCGCTAAGACATCTGGCCCCTTCATCTAGCCAACCTATTCACAATTCTGAGGATCCTAGCTCTTCTCAATTACATGAAGATATGTGTTCCCCTTCCAGTCCTGAACATTCTTGCCAGTTGCGAAATAATAATATAGATCAAGAGAATGAAGAGAAAAATGAGGAACATATTGTTGAAACTCAACAGAATTGTGAGCCTCATCAGATAAATCCTGAGTTAAGAAGATCAACGCGATTAAGAAAAGCCCCAACCTTTCTAAATGATTAAGTAAGATTTTAAAGGTGGGAAGAATGTCGTAATAATCAGTGAATGTACTTACACACTTAGTGAGTTAGTTACTTAGTTATTATTTGTCAATCTGTTATATTTATTTTATTGTCAATGTCGCTTTCTGTTTATTAAAACCTTAAGCAAGGTTTCGTATTTCATTACAGGTATAATCTATTTGGATCATATTATTTACTTAGTCGTGTTTTTAGGGTTTTTCTTTTACCTTGTGGTGTTTCGTTAACACTACAGGTGGTTTATTGTATGC